GAAACTGAATGCACACATACACACAAACACTCAGACATTATTTATATATTTGCTTATATGTTCAATAGGTCGAGGTTTCACACATTGACACACTTACACACACTTCTTTGGAAGTATAAAAATTCTTTTTTTTTGCTTATATTTTAATCTGTTAGAATAACATTTCTATTGAATCAATGGAAGGATGTCTTCATAGAACATTTCTATTATCTCTACTTGCTTACAAAAAGCGAATAGACATGCAAAAAAGTTTTTTTTCTAAGCTATGTGTTATGTTCATTATTTTTTGAGCATTGATGATGGTGTTAGCGATGAACACACACAAAAAAAAGAGAGGAAATGATGATGACCTCATCGAAAATCCAATTGTGATTTCCTTACAAAAACAATTTCCTGCCTAGTCAATTGCAAGTTCGTTTACTAAAAATCTCATTTATTTCTTTTATTTTATTAAATCACAAAAGAGAAAAAAAATTATATCGAAATATTTGGTTCAGCAACTGGCATATTGATAACTGCAGATATTAATGGTGCAGTTGAATCTCGTCGACAAACAAATACCTATTAACAATAAAAATGTCAAATTCATCTCATGCAGGAAATGATTTATTACTTTAATTATATCCGATATAGCTTTATCTGTAACACAAGTAACAAATGAACAAAAACCATATTCAATGCCATTGATAAGAATTGGAATCTAAAAAAGAGAAGAAAAAAAAAGCAATTTTGATATTTATTTTTGCCAAGTACTCATTATTTTTTTTCTCAAGAGAACTCTATCTAACCTCGATATAGTTTGGATTAAGATTATAAATATTCTCATCATATGTAAATGATAGAAATAGATCAATGACTGGTAATAATGATGTTGATGATGTATTTTGAAGTTTAACAGTTAATCTAAAACGTGGACCAAGACCATGTACTTCAGCATTTATTCGTATAGCCTCTGTTTTTGTTTTAGCAACTGGATTTAAACCAGCTTCAACTGATTTAAGAAATTCTTTACCGGTTAATAATTTTAAACGAATTAAATCTTGTTGAAAAATTCGATACATATCTTAAAAAAGACATGGATAGTTTTTTTTTTAATTTAATATTATTTAATTTTACTTTCTGCTTGTTCTTTTTCACGTAATGTTTGATCAACGTAGAGTTTTGTTCGTTTTGGTACATCTATTTTAACTTGTTGTTCTTTTGGTGGACCATGGAGAATATCGTTTTCTTCAAAGACTGCTGTACGTTTTAGAATTTTTATTACAAGTCCACCATCTAAATCCAGATAAAGAAAAAATAATTTCATGTTCAGAACAAAATTTTATTTAACAATATGATTTCGTTGATAAATTCTATGAAGCATTTTCTCAAAATTTAGACTTCAAACGTTTTTGCATTTAAAAATCATAATTTCACTTTGTATGGAAGATTTCATCTATTGGCTATCTTTATACAAAAAAAAATATGTTGGAGAAAATTTTCAGTTACTATTTGTTGGCTCACTTGACAAGAAGACGAAAACGAATCAAAACGATCAACTTATGTTTATCTCTAACAATCATATCATTCATCGATCCGTAAAAGTCTTTGAATAATTTCAATCGCAATTTTATGAGATCATAATCAAAAACAAAAATGATAATCTCTGCTCTTATTCATTAAATGAAAAAAATAATTAAAAATTTTTTCAAAAAAATTGAAATTATTTACTTTTGGTAACCATCACTAATGTTGCATCTTCTCGTCCTAATCGTCCAAATTTCATAGCATAAACATTTTCTTCAATTTGAATAACATCCACAAGAAATTTATCTTTATATAAATGTATTTCATTATTTGCTAATGCAACAGCTACAGCTTGAAAACCTTTTGGACGATAATCAATTTGACACATTGCAGTTATTTGAGCTGGTAATACATGTTTCCAATAACGTTTACCCTTTTGAAAAAAAAAAAATTTCATTTTTTCCAATGTTGAATTTTACAAAATTTTATTTTTCATACTTTTGTTGTATAACAATGTAATGATGAATCCATACAACCGACAATTATATTTTTACCAAAACGTTCAAGACCAACAGCTATTGAATTTAAATAAATTGCATTTCGTGGTTGTGGACTACCTCTAAAACATATATTTATTTGTTATCTTTTAATTAAATTTAATTTCAATAATTTTTACCTTCGAAATAAATATATATATCCATTACGACAAGCAGCTAATATTCGAAATTCAACGTCATAAACACCGGATACATCAAGAAATGATGGGGTTGCAGGACAATTCATCTACAGTCATACAAAAAAAAAAGAAATTGTTTTTTTTTAATGATATTTGAAAGATTTCGTTGTTTGTATCGTACTGTAGCAAGTATTGTAAATGCTTCAGATTCAATTATATAAATATGTTGATCCTCAGTACCAATAACAAGACAATTAAGTGCATCTTCATCTGCTGAGTTTTTATTTAATTTTTTCATACATGTTATACAACTCTTGAAAGGAAAAATATTATTTTTTTTTTTTTAGTGCGAAAAATATTTTTCTCTTTATCTACCTGCTGCTTTAATTCCATATTTTTATAATGTTCAACGAATTGATGTGCTTCATTATTGTTTGATATTTGTAAAAACCTTGAATTTCACCAAAAAATAAATTAACTTGTGATGAGAAAGTCATGGCACAAAATATTCTCTTAAACACAGTTTGTTACAGTCAGAAGCAGTTAGTTAGAATCAGAGTTTTTTTGCTCATTTTCATATGTGTTCAGAATTTTCTTCAAGACTCAAATTTGCAACCAATCATCAGATTGTGTCAAGATAATGGTTGTGGAAAATGCTGTTTCAGTCGATTTTGTATTCTAATGAAAACCTATCAAATTCAAAATGTGAAACAGTTTTTTATGGATCACGAGAGAATCTTTTCAGCTATCTCTTTCTATTTTCAATGTGTTTTTTTTTGCTGCATCGTGTTCGGATAAAAATTCTAAAATAGGTCGTCCGCATGGATATCTGAAACTGAGTTCTGATTGTTTTACTGAATTTTTGACTATAGATAGGGATGATGACTGTAGAAAAACTCCAGAAAGTTTCAGTCGAAAACAATATTCCTTCTTCGACATATTAAGTTTCCAAACAAAAATGGTCGGTTGCCATAACGATCGAATTTAGTTTGCAATTTAATATCTTGACAAAGGAGCATTTTTTTCAGATGAAATTTTCAGAATATTCTAAAGGTCACTATACCTATCTTCGGACAAATTTTTAGGTTAAATTTTCTATTCTTACTAAGACCTCTTTGAAAGCCCAACATAAGATCAAACCGCAAGTATTAGTTCGGATAGTTTCCACGTAACCTACCGAACTTTTTCCCCAGCGGTCTTAGATTAGCTGTCATATAAAAATTCACAAGTTTTGAATAAATTCTCTTCGAGATATGAAGCTTTCAAACCAAACTTGTGAAGTTTGTTTATGGAAGCTAGTCCTATAGAGGTTCTCTAGATGCGCAAAATTTGAAAATATGGTTTTTCTAAGCACTACTTGCCTTCTATAGAAAAAATAATCGGCAGCTTAATCAAATCGGAAACTTTTAAAGAAGGCGAATCTTAAGAAATATTCAAAAAAATAGAAACATTCTAATTCTAACCAGTTGTCTTTTAGTGACCGCAAAATGAGCAAATATTTTGTGCCAAGACTTTTATGACATAGATTAGTTTTACATGAGTGATCGATGTGTTAAAGTAGTGGTGCCACCACGATGAAGATCACTAAGAACATCATGCATTGCTTGAATATCAATATTACCCTTAAAAAAAATATTTTAAAAAATTAAAATATCTTTCTTTCGTTTTTTTTTTTTATCAATTTTATCTTTCGGTTTCTATTTCAAAAAAATAATTTATCAATATTCATTCCGATTTAAAATAACACACCTCTCGAGCTTTAAGCCAAACATCTCTTTCTACTTGAGCTATGTCTAATTGAGGTAATACAAATTTATAATAAGGACGAAGTGATTTAAAAAGAAAAACTGCTGAACCAGATGCAACAGCCAATGCTAAAAAAATACGCAAAATATCAAATATAAATTAAAAAAAAAACGATTAAAAATTTTTACCAGGAATTCTTGGTTGAAGAGTATCCATATAGCAAGCAACAACAGCACATGGTAAATCTGTAAGATTATTTTCTTTAAGTAATGAAAATCCTATAGAAATATTTCAATATAAAATAATTAACTAATGATCAACAACAAAAATTTTTACCTTTAAAAACTTTTAATTTTGCTTGTAATTTTGGCATTAAAAGAATATTTCCAAAATCCGCAATAACTAAATTAACTGAACCTTCCGCAAATAAGTCTACAAGTTCCATACATGTTTCTACTGTATTTATTCCTGCAACAAAATCAGTATGTGCTGGTAACCATTTACTCTGAGGATCAGCACTAAACAATTTATAAATTCGAAAATATTTATATTTTTTCTTTTTTTTTAAATTAAACATATTTTATTTTACATGGCTGTTGTTGGTCGAGTTTGATTATTTTCATTTTCATTATTGTTTGCAACTTCTTGATTATATTTTAATGAAGATTTATCTCCTTTAGCTGATGACATTATTACTGTAATTGATTAACTCAATCCTTTTGGAAAGTATATTATCAAAAATCATTCCATGACAACAACAAAAAAAAAAGGATTTTTTAGAGGTCGCTAATAAAAATTCATCATTTTGTTTGTACCTATAGTAACAAGGTCAGACAAGTAAGTTCAATGGTAAAATTATGCTCTTAATGTTGAAAAAGAAAAATGAATGACATGAAAATGTAGATTTTATTTTATTTTTTCTGTTATTTTTGTAACTAAATGAAAAAGAAAACAAGTTACTCGATTTCTTTAAAAGCTGTCTTTCTCATTTTAAAATGAAGGCATTACTTTTCTTTTATTGTAAACACATTGGACGCATGTTCGAAATAAATTCTTAAAAAAAAGATACATTATGGAATATAATTCCGGCGTTAGTATGATTCTACCCGATACTATTAATCTTATTGAAAATGATTCTTATGATGAAGATCATGAAGACATTGTTCATGAACAAACAAATCAAAATGAAGTAAACACAAAAAAGAAATGATTCTATTATTTCTTTTTGTTATTTTAAACAATACTTCTTTTCATTCCAATTAGATTGTTGAGTTGATCATGGCTGCTTTTGAAGGTCATGAGGAACCATCAGATGGTGAAGATGATGATGACGAATCATGCAATACATCTGATTCAAGTCATCATACTTCAGGCGAAAAATATATGTTAAATATTGATAATAATAATTATTCTACTGATGAACATTATGTTCAAGAAAATAAAGAGTAAGATTTTTATTTTACAGAAAAAGACATTATTTAAATCGAATAATATTTGATGGCTTTTACTAACATGAGCAAAATTGAATTATTGAAAAATACTTAGATTTATGAAATCTAATAAAAGCACTTTGATTAAATAAGACAAAACTATATTTGATTGTTTTTTTTATGAAAATGTTAAATTAATTTTGTTTACCTATTAAAACAAAAAGAAAACAGAAAACCTATTCAAGTATTGATTCAACTTTTGTTTAGTTGATTATGACAATAAAAATGATTTGTACTATTCTGAACTTTTCGTACAATAGAATGTTTTAAACTTCAGAGCATACAAAAAAAAATCAATGATTCAACGGAAAACTTTAATCTTAAAAATGTTACTGAAAAATATTCTCATAATTCAGATCTAATAAAATGTTCGTTCATCCTTCAGTCACCTAAAGAAGCCTATAGAAATTTGAAAATATTGGATTAGTATCAGAACTTTTATGTTCTTTTCGAATGACTTCAAAATTTTTGTAGAATTTCTATATTAAGAGCTCTCAATGGATCATTTCAAGACTCGTAACTTGAGTTCGAACGAATTTCGATGTGTTTGTCAAAATTAGTAGATTAAAAGTTCTTTTTTTTTAATTCAAACAATATGTTTGCTGAAAAACTGAGTTATTGACAACTTGAGTTTCCTTTATTTGATAGTCTAGTAAATAACAAAGTATAGTAGTATCAAAACTGATAGATATTGTGAATAACTATATGCACATCATTTGAAGATAGTTTTGAAATTCATTAAATATTTTCCTAATGCTTATCAAATGTGTATTACTGTCGTGTCATATCTTTGAGTTACTTCATTTAGGAAAGAAGACAGCATAGATTTTGTGTTCGGTAGTTTACTTTATGCCTTTTCTCCAAAAAACAAAAATCAATTTTTCTAAAAACAAAAAAGACACTTCTTTGAGATCAACATATACAGAGAAACCTCTCTAATGTGATTGGGGCTGGCCAAGTGCGCTCAGTTTATGGAGATGCTCCCTATTGGAAGATTTTCCATTGTTTTTTTTTTCAAATGGTAAGTATTCACTTATAATCATTTTTCGACTATATAAGGTGATCTTTTTCTTCGTTTGAATAACTTATTAGTTCAAATAATCACTATCTAATAATGATTTTTTTTCTTCTAAATATGCACGGTTAATTCATTTTCTTAGATATATTCTATCATTGTTTATCATAAGGTAATATACATAACATCATTTTTGTTCTGTTCTGCACGTAAGTAATGGAACATAAGTTACGCACAATATGAACAACCATTGCTATCAAAACTCGCTCGAACAGATCCTAGATCGTTCAGTACCAGGAGATGCTTATATTGAGAGGTTTTACTGTAGAGATGATCCCTAAGGTATCTCCTATCCATTTCAAAATATAATTTCTTCAATTGTTTGTTGGATAACTATTAATAGGAATATCATAGATATCTGCGATTTTAACCCTTCAAGAGAAAAGATCCGAGGATCATCGAAATCTGATTGGTCAAAAGTTGACCAATCAGGTGACTTCTTGGTGAAGATTTTTGAAAATGATATTCTGAAACTATTTTCTCTGTCAATTCACGCAAGACCGATATTTCTGGCTTGTTCCGTTCGAGAGTTATAAGACTTTTCTTGAGCATTCTGATTTCAACGAATTGATCTGTGATCATCCGAAGAAGCAACTAGATGAGGGTAAATCATCATGGTGCGTCGAGTTGTCATGCTTGTTTTTACGTTCGAATAGATGTAATTCTAATATCTCAATACTTCAGAAATTCTACAATTGGATCCCATGTGTACACTTAGCATAGGGAATTAGTACTGTGTAGCTGCTTTTCAGAGTGATCATAGGTCAACTGGCTGAAATCGAGAGAGTTAAGAAATATGTTATAACTCTCGAACGGAACACGTTAGGAATGCCCGTTTTGTGTAAATTGAAAGCGAAGGCTTTTCTCTAGCGATTAGTGTTACTAAAAGTCTAAACCAAAACATGATTGGTTGGTTGTTGACCAATCAAATTTCGATGTGTTCCGATGGCTTCAGGTCTTCTATCTTGAACGGAATTATGAGTTTCTTTGAAAAACATAGCTCAAGACTTTAGAAGTTTTAAGATTTAAATAAAAGGTAAAAAGTCCCTTTTTACATGATAGTAGCCCGAGCACTGTTGTTTGAAGTGTATGGAAAACACATTTATACACATGAAAATCTGATTTGATACTAAGTCTCTGGAAACTTCCAGAATGATAAGGCTTCGAATTATGGAATTTTTTTATTGGTGTACTTTTATTAGTGAAGAATCTTCAGAAAACTTTATGTCTAAAATAAGGCCTTTCAATATAACTCAACTTAGTGTCCTAGGAGAAACTGTACCGAATCTCAGGGAATTTCTTTATCATAAAAAAAAATTTTCTCTTATGCCTATAGATAGAGAATTTCATAAACTACAAGTCTGTCGACTTTGTTTCTCCAACAAATTTCTCTTGTTGGCGTAAAATTTAGAATTAGAACACGTACTTAATCGTCCAACTGCGAGCGTCAAGAAAACAAAAACTTGGTAACAATTTTTCAGATAAAAGTCTCTGTGAGTTTTCAACTAGCTCATAAAATTCTTCTTAAAACTCTGCATCACTCGATATATGTTTCAGAATTTTAGACGAAATCTGTAGGAACAATAGTTTCGAAGTAAACAAAATGCTCCTACAGTTTAATATAACCTTTACACAATTTTGTTCAAAGTTAACTTATACATCCCATAAATCTTTCATAGAGCAAGTCTGACTTTTGAAAACATAGTTTCCTAAAGTGTACTCAAAAATGTCGACAATTGTCACTCTAAAGTCTTTTTCTTGTAAAAAAAACCGTCTTGGAAATCTTGAAAAAGTCATAGATGTATAGAGCACAAGATTTTCTATCTTTTAATATTAAGTAATTTACTTTTAGCATCAGTTTAACAAAATTCAATAAAGTTCAGCAGATATTAGGAAATCACATTTATACACTTCATGAAATCTCCTAAACAGTGTTTTTAATGGTAGAAATATCAAGCAGAAGCAAAATGTACAAAACATCTAGTGTTCTCGATATACATCGAAGAAGAAAGAGCTGATTTCGTGATTTCTTTGATTGTAAAATGTTTCTGACGACCAGAAAACAGGAGGAAAATGATTATTACGTTATCAAGCAACGGATAATGTACAAATTTTAAGATTTGATTCTTTCGTCAGGAGATAGCTCTTGAGAGAAAATCACGATTTCTTATGAAATTTGATCAAACATTTAAGGATTTGACGAATTTGACATTGTAATCAGTTTCTCAAAACTATAAACTTGATTCTTATCGAGTATACAATTTCAAGAATCTCATTATGGTTTCAGACTCCTTCATCTTGAAAACCTTTGACCAAACTTTATAAAAAAAATAATCGAAACCATATGGCACTTATTTGTCACATGTCTACCACTTAATCACGTAATTTCAAGTGAGTTAAGTATGAAGTGGAGACACTTAACAGGTAATATTAGAGAATGAACTTTTAAGTAGAAATACTTAACACTTAACATTACGTGTTGAGTAATAAAACTTAATTGTACTTGGAGTACAACGGTCTGCTTCTAAAAATTCTATGCGATTTCTAAGTTATCTTGCATGTTCATGTAATCTCGAAATCTGTTGAAGTCATCTCAGATCCACGTTCCCAGCTAGAGAATGGTAGAAACTTAGCAATAGGAGTCCGGCAACTGGATACAATCATCGGATTCTTGCTTCTAAGTTTTTACCATTTGTTGGCCGTACCTCATTCATCTGAATGAAAATCCACTTTTCCCGCTTGGCGACAAGATTAAACTTGTTTGAAAAAAAATCATAAAGTCAACCGTTTTGTAGAATATGACATTCTATCTTTTAACATATACAGAAAACTGTTGATGCTTAGGAATTAAGAGAAAAAGATACTAAAATTTAGTGTCATTAATTCTAGGATATACAATGTAACATAAACTATATCATTATCAAACTTGAGATGTATGTATTCTAATAGAATATTATTTTTAATTAAGATTACTTGATCATAATCATCCACATCAACAAACATCATTTTCAACATCAGCAATTTTTACCCCTTCATCATTAGTTCCTTCAACAGATGTTCATGCAGTATGTTAATATGTCTTTCATTATCTCATCCATATATATATTTTCTTTTGATCGTCATCAGTTCGAGGTTAATAATAATGATTATACACATTCGCAAAATAGTCAAAATAATAATAATAATAATGAAAAGATTTTATTTAATAGAAAAAATTATCTTGTACTTGATCAAAATGATAATCGTTCATCTATTATTGATCCAATGCAAATTTATTATTTATATCAAACATCATCGACAAATTTAAACGATACACTAAATCAAGTAAATAAATTACGTATATTATGTAGTGCAAAAGATCGAAAAGTATCTCAACTTGAAAATCTTTGTGAAGAATATCGAGAAAAATATGAAAATGATGTACGAACACTTCAATATAAATTTGAATTAAGTGAACGTAAGAAACAAAAGATTCTTTTTGAAGACAATCCAAAAAAAACCTTTTACTGGATTTGTTTTAAAGGATCAAAATATGATTTAGAACAAAAATATAAATTGATTAATACACAACGTGAAGAATTATTTGAAACCAATAATCAATTACATAGAACAATTAAAGATGCAGAATTACGAATTCAACAATTAGAAGTAGTTAAAATACAGGTGCACACACATGTTTTGTATTTTTTTCATTTATTAATATTTACATATTTCTACTAACGAAAAAATCTTTGGATGTACTAAAAATCTTTCGGCTACATGTTTTGATGTATTACTTAGAAGACTAGTAGGCTACGATATTTCTATTCATTTAATGAGTACTAGTAGACAATGTAAAAGTGTAGAATGTCTCGATTTTTCAGGCTTTCGCTCGTGAGATATCGAAATTTTAATGGATTTTTTTCAATAAAAATCTGTGATCACCTGAAATGTCCATTGCTGAGTTTTGACTTCAAACTTTGTGTGAACAAATTTCTTAATGAGATTAGTTAAATTATGAAACTAGTATTTTCTTTCTAGAGATGTAAATCTATGAACGAAATATGCTATTACATACAAGTGCATTTCGAATATAGAATATTTCAGGATAGGAAACACTAAAAAAAAGTTACAACTTGTCTAATGAACTAATCGTATTGACAACTATGTTCATAAAAAGTTTAAAATTCTACACTTTTCTATCACTCATCAAAAAAAAATATTGTCTTGATTGAAAAGCGATTTGCCATCAGAAGAGTTTCTCTCGTTTGCTAATGAATAAAAATTTCAATGAATTTTTCTTCTAGGACTCAATATTCTAGTAAAGTCATATTTTCGAATTTCAACCAAAAAATTTGCACAAATATAGACTTCAATTAGGTTAAATCGACAAAAAAACAACTTCGAAATTTGAAAGTACAATTATATTAAAAACTAGATTCTTGCAAGAATATCTCATCTAAATTTAGGTCTTTTTCACATCTAGTTATTCTCTAAGTAACATATCAAGTATGGGATCAGAAGTATTATAGTCTCTCAAAAGGTTCTTTCATAAGTTCAAAACTGAAAATGTAACATCAATAAACAATAAGAAGCTTAATTCGATAAAAAAAAATAAAAGTATGTATGTATACTAAAATAAAAATTGACTCAAACCTTTTCACTTAATCTCAGAATGAAATTTTTTATCATGTATTTCAAAATTCGCTTTCTATATTTTGCTTACTATGTAATTACAAAAAACAGATCGAAAATTCTATGATGAATAGTCATACAACTGTAATCATAATCAATTAATGATGAAAAGTAGTTTTTTTTATTCATTAAGCATTTTTCTAATCAGTTACATATCTTTCATAAAACTTTTCATTAGTATTAACATTATCCTTATTAATTAATTGAAAAGTAAATGAATCAATAGAAATTTACGAAATAGAATATTCTTCTTGATTAAGATTCACATTATATTTATCTGATGATTATATTTTATATTGAATAGTTTGAAAAGAAATTCTCTGATTCTGAATTATTGATCGATAGTCTTCATCGAAAAGTGAATGAATTAAAACATTTTGAATCAATAGCACGTTCACAACAAGATTATGAATTTGTTTTATCTACAATACGTGAAAAACATGAACAAGAAATAATATCATTTAATGAAAAATTACAAAATATGCAAATGATTTTAAAAGAAAAGGTTTAATACAAAAATAAGAAAAATTTATAAAATTTTAAATATTTTGAATTTAGAATGTTGAAATCGACGAACTTCGTGTTCAATTAGACGTTGCATATATAAATAACGAAAAAGTAAATCAATTATGATATATTTTCATTAAAAAAAGAAAAAAAAAACTATTTAATTTTCTACATGAATTTCAAGGCTATACTTGAACGAATAAACACAATTAATCATTTAAATGAACAATTGCATGATTGTCAACAAAAATATTCTGATTTATTAAGTACAAACTTATTAGAATCAGTCAATCAAACAGAAATTAAAAGACAATTAACAAATATGACTGAAGATAAAGAAAAACTCAAAAATAAATGTCAAGATTTACAGGTATATTTATTAAAATTTAGTTTTATTAATATGAAAAATCTTAATCAGTCATTGGAAGTATATGCATAGCACTGCGTAGAATTGATATGATCAATAAATTTACAATAAGAATTTTGAAATAGTCTTCTCTTACAAAAAGGAACGTGGTTAATTCATTTAATTAAAACAAGCTGGAACTTGTAGGAAAATTATCGTACTTTTGAGGGTAAAGTAGAATTAAGGTTAGGGTTTGCTGGTTTCAACATAATAGGGACTGAAAACGGAATTTTCTGAATTTCTTCGGATCAGAATCGTGATATAATCAGATAGGTACAAATGTTCTTAAATTGATCTCAAAATACTTTTGTTTTTTTCATCCTGGATATTAACGATTTCTTCATGTAAATATAATACTATTTTCTTTAAGTATTAAAATATGTGATGTCTTTTATCTCAACAATTCAATGGTGAAAATTTCTTAAAATATATAAAAAAAAAATTCCAATCCATCTGATGATTAAACACTTTTGTGTAATTTTTGAAACCTCTGAACTCTCGTCAAGACTTAGAGTAAGAAATAAGCTTACCCTACAGATCTCTCTTAAACTTAAGAATGACCACAACGCTTAAATAGTTTCTTAGTTGGAATAAAATATGACTCGATATTGATGCATTCATATTTTATTATATAAATGTACAGCAAATATGTTTCTTAAAATACACAGTTTCGTTATTTTTATTTTAGAAAATGTTGCAAATAAATTTGAATTCTTTGAGATTGCAATTTATTCTTATGAAAAAATTAAGTTGCAGTAATAGAATTAGTTATAACTTGAAAATTATTATTGATGATAAATGCCACATTTATTCTAATTTTTCAAAGCTTCACTAGTAAAAGTTTAAGATCAAAAAAGAAACAATATACAGAGAGTATTCATTTTATATGTAAACAAAGCTTTTGCTTATTATTAGAATATAAATTTACGAGCTTTTCTCTCATATATTTACAGTTCTTATCATAGGTTTGTAAATCAATAAAAAATTTTAGAAGTTTTTTTTTGTCTAACTTTGAATTCATGTTCAATATTTAGTATTCTCTCTGTTTATCTATCAACAAAGGTCTTTCTTGTTGCTGTCAAATTAAAATAGTTTTTATTTCTCATTGACCTTTTTACTGTTATTATTTATCGAACAAAAAAGAAAAAATCATTCTGCTTTCGAATGTTTGTTTGTCATAAAGGTTTTGTCTTTTTGTAACATTCATGTCCCATTATGAGTATAAGATAACAAAAGAGAAAGAAAAAAAAAAGGTTTGAATCTATCTTTGATAACAGAATGAGAAAGAAAAAGATTATAACAGTTATAATAAGAATCTACCATGGTAGTAATAACATGGGTGCGTAGTATTTCGTAGTTCTAAAAACTAATTTCTTTTTGATGGTTTAATTTAGTCGGAAGTTCGAACATTACGCGAACATCTTGGTGAAAATGAAAATGAAATTAATAATGATATATTTTCTATAAAAAATATTCCAATTAGTAATCATGATAGCAATGAAAAATTGCCATTAGATGGTTTATTAATAAATGAAAATATTCGTTTAAGAACACTTATTGATGAATTTGAATCTAATGAAAAACATCTTATTGAATTAAATGAAGAATTACAACGTAAACTTCAAGATTATGGATATTCATCAAAACGTACTGAGAGTAGTAGTAGTAGTAGTAGTAGTAGTAGTTCAAATGAAACAGTTATAACTACAAGTATTCATATGGAAAAAATAAAAGAATTAACAAATCAAATTGAAATATTAAAAAGAAATTATACAGATTTAGAAGAAAAATATGAATATGAAAAACATGAATTACAAACAATGCTTGAAGAATTACGTGAAGATGTTATTGAATTAGAGAAAACAAAACAACTTTATAATGGTAATTAATTAAATTTTCTTTTCTTTTCTTTTATTAATTTTTTTTTTCATTTTAGATTTTTGTCAAGAAAATCTTCCAATGGAAGATAAATTTCGAACAAAATTTGAATTTGAATTAAAAACTAATTTAGATGATTTACGTCGAATACTTGAAGAAGATTATAATGAAAAATTATTATCTTATAAAACAAATCAAGAAAAACTCGAACAAGATAATCAAAATTTAAAAATTAAATATAATCAAGATTTAGAACAACAATCAAAAGAATTTTATGAAGAAATGGAAGCTATTAAAATTACACATGAAAAACAAATTATTGAATTAAATAATGAAATCGATAGATTAAGAGCTAATGGTGAGTTCTATGATTTATAATAATAAATCATCATTAATAATTAGTATCATTGAAGACATAGAGAGATAGGTATTGTATAGGACAGATATGGTATCGAGAAAAATTCATTATACAAAGCTCCAATATATTAATAAAGGTTAAAGTTAATTTGGCTTTGTAGAGATGGATGTGGGTGTGTGTCTCTTGTGAATAGTGAAAACTCCAAGTCGTTATGCTGCTTCTATCGAAATTTATTGAAGAAACAATCAAGGCTATCGCAGATTTAAAACGACAATAATTTCCATCATTATAGAATTTCAAAAGTAATCTATTAAAGAGAAGTAAATAACCTTCATACCGGAGTTACTTGATCCATTCATCATGACTTGCCAACGATGTAATTAGTTCACGCTTTTTAGAACTTCATCCGTCTCTAAGTATATACTATTATTAGCAGTGACTGGAATTTCTGTTGATTGTTTTTCTATGTCTAATATATGATGACGAACATTTTCATATGTTAAAATTAATAATATTATAAAGAAATAAGTTTTTCTACCAACTGCTTTTCTTTCCAACACTTACGAGGAAACACCCCTAGGTAAAGCTCCGCTTTTGACTTGATATTTTGCCCATATATAGGCCTTTGTGAGACTAGAAAAATCGTAAAAGGGTTTGGGTTTCTGTCGCTTCCTTCTTGAGCTATGACCGTTTTAGCAATATTTTGGCCCTATGGTAGGCACTTTCGAAAAATTTCATTTTGAGGATTTTGATCTGAAATTTTGTCTGCAGATAGCTCTTATAGATACTAGGTTATTCTGAAAGTTTTGGCAAAAACGAATATATCCTTCGCGAGGTATTGAATTTACAGGAAACTCAATTATTGTATCTTTCGTATGACAAATGCCGATTTTTTTTTGCCAATTGAATATATCGAGAAGGATACATTCGTTTTTGTCGAAACTTTCAGGATAATCTAGTATGTGTAAGAGCTATTTGCCAACAAAATTTCAGATCGAAATCCTCAAAATGAAATTTTTCGAAAGTACCTACCATAGGGCCAAAATTTTGCTAAAACGGTCATAGCTCAAGAAGAAAGCGCCAGAAACCAAAACCCTTTTAGGATTTTTCTAGTCTCACTAAGACCTATATATGGACAAAATATCAAGTCAAAGGCGGAGCTTTACCCAGGGGTGTTCCCTCGTTAGAGAATACGCATATAGCAAGAGAAAAAAACCTCGTGTATTCTTGCTAAATTAATATATTTGATTTCTTATTTTAGAAGATGCTAATAGTCGTTTAGAATATACAGAAAAAGAATTTGAACAATTAAAACATGATTATTATGATTTAAATATAAAACAAAAAGAATTATTAAAATCCTATTCAACACTTGAAAATCAAAATCAAAATTTATTAAATGCAATTGAACAAATTGAAAAAGAAAAAAATCAATTAAAAGAAAATTTCACTAATGAAGAAGAAAAACTTTTAAATGAAATCAAA